GGTGAGATCCCAGTGTCAAAACTCTTAAATAATTAATGTGATGGTGTGACCTTTGTCATGTATTAAATGTGCAGCATTGACCTTTTTTTGACCAGTGACCGTTTGTTATACATGCGGGTCATTTGATGTTTGGCTCAATGGTGGTCAACCTGCATCTGATGTGAGTCGAGAGCTTGGCAGGGAAAGGGGTGCGTGTGGCTTGACCCTGATAACTCAGCTTGGTCTACACAGAGAACGTAAAAAGGGGATAGGGAAAAGAGTGTGGGGCTAAATAAGGCAGGATGTGGCCATTAATACCATTCTCTATAGTTAGCTGAGCTTTAGGGCTCATAGAAGGCCTAGAGGTACAAAGGTAAAGAAAGGCTTAAGTCTCGTGCTGCAGGTCGAGGCTCAGGGCAGGGAGTAAGTCTAGGTTTATGTCGCTGTTTGAATCTGGGGCTCTAGGTGGCCTGGTCCAGGGCTCTCAGCAGGTCGCAGCCCTGGAGGAGGTGCAGGTTGCCCTGCAGCGGGACATTGACCTCGCAGTCGTAGCGGGTCAACTCCGGCAGAAAGGAGGGTTCAAATGAAGGCCCCAGCAAACGACTGGCTATGCCTAGAAAATGACAGAAATAAAGAAAATCCCTGTGTGTCAGTGATTTACTTGTTTATTTGAATAAAGTAGATTTAGTCAGAGCAGGATGTTAATGGCTGAGTCATATATTCTGCAACGTAAAGGTACTTTAAATTAAACAGAAGACTAAACGAGTGCTTTAACTGTCCACGCAGTGATATTAGCCGACTAAAATCTGTAAATGTTAGTAACTCCAGCTCACCCTCAGACTTGTTAGAAGGCAGCATGTTATACTCTCTGTAGTCACAGCTCTTTTGGGGAAAGCCTTTTTCATTTCGACCACTTATCCCATTTCCTGCGTACAGTGACTTCCTGTGTTGTTGCAGCGAGTTGAGACATGGAGCCATGCTCCCTGGCATCATTCTCGCCATCTCCGACTCTGAGAGAAGAGAGCGACAGGTTAAAAAGGTGCAGCTGATGCGTGAAAGAGATGATAAAACATGGTTTCCATCCATTTGCTGCACAAGCATACCTGCACAGAGGGAACGATCCATGCAACTGTCACTCCTTATCCTCTTCCATATGAACTCTGGCAGCTTGCTCTCACCCTGAAACAGTCATACTCAACTGATTAGCAGTTCGTGCATGCAGATTTTTTTTTAGGCAAACTATCAAACTCAAGAATTTAAATCGTGGTTTGGAAACTAACGTGCAATCTTGCCTCAAAATAATGCTTTATGTTACACTGAATGCTTTAAGTTGCAGTGGAGCTTTTGCTGTACGATAGGAGTCGGAGGAACTCACCACAGCCATCTGGCTGAAGGAGCGCTTCATACTGTTGGCCATGGCCACTCTGGCTGGACTCATGTCTCTGTAAGCTTGTACAAAGTTGTCGATGGACCTGCATACACAAAG